ATTGTGCTCAAGTCAAAAAGGTATTTGTGTAAACCAAATGAAGCGCATCATCTAAGTAATAATGAAATCTACTCTTATCAAGTAGTTACCAGTCTTCAGTAAAATTRCTTCTCTACAAATTATGATGCAGAAAAGCATCGCTTAAATAGACTAATTTCAAAAACTCTACTGAACCAAAATTTGTCTAAACTCAGCTATGTCTCACGCAAACTTAAATCTTTAAAACCACCTCAGACCCAGTACATTTTTTTTATCTCTTTTCAAGGATTCCATGAGTAAAACTCCTAATCACAATCTTCCTCAAAACAAAAGATCAATTTAAAACTGTTTAAACTGAATTCAYAAAGGTCATGGGGAACAAGACAATGCACTCAACATAGCAAAGATAGGGACATATCAAAAAGAAACCAGATGAAGATCGAACGCACAATCACAAGATAAAATGATTGTTTTTTTTAAAATATTTATAAGATTTTAACCAAGACATTATAATGTCTTGACAATTATTGTTTATGATTGCTAAAAAACTGGCTTTAGAATCAGAAAAAATAAGGAAACTCCAGGGGGGAGAGAAATAATKTAGGTAAAGGCTTTTTTAGGATAGCCCAGAAATTTGCCATAAAACAAGAGACAAGAGCAGAAAAGAGGATAATTGTAAATGCAATTTTAGAGAAAAAATAGGCAAATTCCGCTTCTGATTGTGTGACTGACTTATTGGTAAAGACCGAAATACACAAATTAAAATTATYGGCGATAATTTGGCTTAATAAACTGTTAATTATGCATAGGGGCATAAGCATAAATCAATAAGGGTGTAGCCTAGGAAGTTAGATAAGACTACTACGTATTGTGTGATGATGAGTGCATCACAGCTTATGTCACATAAGGGTTATTTGTGAACTTTATAAACACGAGGGAAAACCGTTGGGAAACAACTTGTTTTAAGACAAATAGAAAATACTCGAGTATAAAAACATATTGTAGTTAAGGTTACAAACAGAAACATTTTAGTATAAACCTAGTCTAGTTTATAAAGTGTTGATAATTAATTTTTTTTTATTTAATAATAATAATAATTATAATTATTAAGAAAACATAATAAAATACCAATGACAAGATTTATAATTAGATATCTATTAATATAAATAAGTTCTTAAAACATTAAAAGAACTAATAATGATGATAATATTTTAAACTATAATAACCGTATAGAAACTTCAAACTAATTACTTACTTGCATAATCATCTTGACTTTCAGACTCTGTTCGGGAAAGAGGAATTTCTGGTTCTCTTGATACACATAAATCTTGTTGGAGTTGTTCAATAGTTCTAAAATAATCATAAAATACTTTAAAATAAAAACATGTTATAGTTAAAAATGAAAAACAAACCTCCTAAATTCTTGTTTATCTAAAGATTGCTGCTTAGTGTCCTAAAAATTATTAATTATTAAATTATTGTTATATTAAGAATA